TCTCCTTGCGTGTCGATCGGCCTTGAGGGTCGTTGCCCGGTCCAGTGACATTTATCGGCCTAGGAAGGTCTTCTATCATGAAATGGTGGAGGGGGTTGCGAAGGAACCGCTACGCGGCCGGCTACGCTCGTCGCCGGATGAATGGCGCTCGTTTTGGTCTTGGGCGTCAGCGGCGGATTACTTCTGTAACTCTGAGTTTTCGCTTACCTGGCGATTAGTTCAGAATAAGCTATCTCTCAATGACAATGTCTTCATACGGGGCTTGGCGGATTTGTGAACGATGTGACCTTGGCTTAGAGGAAATGGCTTCGCACGCTTTCGACCATAGCCCTAGGGCCCTCTCCCTATGGGAACATGTCGGCGAGTTGACGACTGCTATCGATCCCGAAAAACTCGTGCTCATTGATCGCGCATACGCATGTGACAATGTGTCGCCCCCATATTCTGGGGTGAAACGGATGGTGTTTTTATCACTGTTGGCCACGGCCCGAATGAGGATTTCTACGACGCGATTGGAGGATTTCTTGCGAGGTGATCGTCTTTCTCATCAGGGTCTAATCCGATTTTTTGAGCATCAGCTCAAGATGAAGAATAGAACTGATAGAAAGCGATTGGTTCCGACAGATTTCAGCAAAAGATGGGTGACTTAGGCCAACCTGTTTCGTGTGAACGGAGCTAGTCTTGATTTTCTTTGGACGACTCTATTGGAGGATTTTTTGCGAGGTGATCGTCTTTCTCAACAGGGTCTAATCCGATTCTTTGAGCATCAGCTCAAGATGGAGAATAGAATTGATAGAATGCGATTGATTCCGACAGATTTCAGCAAAAGATGGGTGACTTAGGCCAGCCTGGTTGTATGAACGGACCTAGACTTGATTTTCTTTTTTAGGTTCCCATAAGTCACATCGGGGCGGTTCCCTCTGGAGCCGTCCCCTGGTTAGAATAGACCCTTTTTGTGTACCTAGTTAATTGTCGTTCCTAGCCTGTTCACAGTTTCTATGGTTATGATCCAAGTCGAGATTCCCAACCTCCCCAATTTGTTTTTGGATCCCTTTTTTTCATCCCGTCTGGGTCAGCTTTCTTCTTTCCCCATGGCCTTATTTATTTTATCCTTTCCCTCTCCCTTAGCGAGAGAGCTTATTGATTTTCTCTAAAGACAGAATACAGCGTCCTCTTTTAATTTTTTTAAGGGTTTGACGGGTCTAACTAACATCAGTTATCTTTATTTTGTTTGTTTTGATATTTTAATTTGTTTTTCGGCTTCATCCCCTCCCCGCTCATTGTATATCATCTACAGATTTTTATATATAGAATTTTATGCTCATTAAATTTTATGCCATGGATTGTTGTTTGTATGTCCCCCTGAGAGGATTGCGGTATTATGATTTATAATTGAATGATGATTGATGAGTTCTTAAGGTGGATGTGCAAATTGTAACAAATGACTTGATCGTGAATCGGATTAGCTAGGTATAAGATAGTAAGTGACGACCAGCCTCAGCCCATTTGCCCCACCCTGTTTTCGGCCTTGTGCCATAATTGTATTTTATACAATATATCTTGCGAGAAGAAATAACAAAAACACAATTGTAAGAAAACAGAATGCATGGTTCTTAGCAAAAAGGAAGTGTCTAACATGTAAATTACAAATTGGAGCTATGAAATAAGTACAAAGATTTTACATATCTTGGAAGTGTTTTAACAGAGGATTGAAAGCGCGACACTGAATTCCGAAGGAGCATTGGGATAGCGAAAGGTGCCTTCCAAAAGCTGAGTGAAGTATTAAGAAACAGAAAAATTTCGTTAGAATCAAAGAAAAAAGTATTGAACTGTTACGTAATATCAGTCTTCTATATGACTGAAGACAACAGAAATGTGATTTTTTACGCAATATATATATATATATATATATATAGGTTGTGCAAAAATAATGGCGTAAGAATGTCGTTTTTGACGTTAAGAAAAACGTCAAAAACGACATTATTACGTCATTATTTTGCACACCTATATATATATATATATATATATATATATATATATATGTTGTGGATTCAGAGATAAATTCGGTTCATGAATGAATAAACGCAAGAATTAAAGATAAGAAATTAAATGTATTTACACAATAATACAATGGGTATATTGTTAGTAAATCCAGGAACGTGAGAATAATATATATATATATATATATATATATATATATAGTCTCAAAGTAGGCCTTCTTTAGAGTCTACGTGCTTGTAACCGACTTCTAAAAGCGGTTACCTCACACTATTACTCTATCTCCAACTCAATCACAATCTCTGCTCACTCCCTCTTTCACTCTCTATATTCTGACTGACTGTGGGTATTTGACGGCAGCAGTCCTAGTAACACTCTCGTCGAGTCCACTTATATTAAAAAAGGGAGGACCCTATAACAATATATATATATATATATAAAAGTGAACATTGAACAACTTAGAGGCGACAGTCTGTTTCATGCTATATGCAATCGTCAGGACATTTTTCACTTTTATTTTTTTTCACTGTTCACTTTTTATTTTTACACACGCTCTATCTCTCATATCGAGCACTTTATCCCATAAATATAGCACACCTTAAGACTATATTTCTTATATATATATATATATATATATATATATATATATATATATATATATATATATATATATATATAAAGTCAACATCTTTTTTTTTTTTGCCATTTTTAAGACATACTTTCTTGTATCTGTTCCATTGAGAAACTAGGTTGGAGCTGCTCAATCTTCACTTTCCAGCCTTGATAGAGTACAAAATTCGTTATGTATTCTTGTGGCAGAAGATTCAACTCTGTAGTTACTTCCCCACTGAGGCAATATTATAAGCCTATTACTATCCAATGTTCAGATGAGCGCTCCATTCTTTAGTTACCTCAGTTCAGACCATTGCATCTATGTCGCGCCATGCTACTTCCATGTAATCGAAACATCTTCATTTTTTCCAAATGTAAGGAGAAAGTTTCATTTAGTCTGCTTTGTTAAGATATTCAAGACGTCTCGGCCGTTGTACGCTGCGACCTTCTTCAGGCGATTGAACAACGGAGGGAATATAGCAACAAAGATGAGGACACCAGTCCGAAGAATGTAAATAGTGTAAATAATGAACTTCTATTTCTCATATATATTAAGCTTTATTCAAAAAAAAAATACTCGAGAGGTACTCAAAATAGAGCGTTGCTGTTAAAATGGTTGCGATGAATAAGGTGTGGCTTATGTATGGAAAATATGTTGGTAGGAAGTGAAGATTAAGAGCATAAGGAGGATAGATAAAGAATGACCCTTATAATTACAATACCTCATCTCAGAAATATAGACAAATGCAGAAGTTCATATCCTAGATTTTCAAAGTTTAAATTTAATTGAAGGAAACCCGTATAACACTATCATTTCTATAAAAAAATGGTCCGGCCATTTTACACTCTGGTACAAAACCGTATATGAAAACTTGTCTGGACATATTTCCATTACGACTATACAAGTCTGTGTGTGTATTTTTTTCTCCAGTCTCCAGCACATGCGCCGTTGTCTGTGTGTTCATGTGCGCATGCGCTGCTTACATATCTAGCCGCCGCCATGTTATTAATATTGCTTATTGTTTGTTTTTCTATTGTTAATTATTGTCCGATTGTATGAATTGCTCTTGATGAAAGTGACTTGAAACTAATGGAATGCAACGCTGAATTAATTCGCCTGCTCATCAATTTCGCTGCGTCTCATTCGCCATATCTCAAATCTCTCTCCCTTTCGCCTTTTGGCTCGATGTGTTAATTACATTACCGGAGACCAGAGTGACAAGTTTTTGTAACACTATAACAATACAGTGCTTTTATATGTTCGTTGTTATATCAGATATTATTATGCAAGTCAATGTTGTCGGAATAAAATTGATTAGGACTTTAGATAAACCTTTCGAAAAGAGAAACTGCGGCTTGGAATTTGAATGAGTGTAGTTTTGGCACGTATTTTGAATCCACCATAAAACTTTTAACAATATGTGGTCAAAAGAAATTAGTGACTCTGTTGTGGGACGCAATTTCAGACCGGGCGTTTCTTCCCTCTACAACGGCTTCTTGGTATTTATCTTTGTTCTCTTCCTTGTATCTGCTTCGTTCGTTCGTTCCTTCCTTCCTTCCTTCCTTACTGCCTTCCTTCCTCCTACCACAACTGCACGTGTTATACGATGTACTCCGACGGAAGGTTATTTACCTCACCACCGCGCGAAGGAGAATGTGGAACAAGGCCGTTATTTAATGCCGGGTAAAAACGAGCCCGTAGGCTCGGGCAAAAATTCCTCGTAGACCCCGTAAAAACGGGGTCGGGTAGCTGTCTACCACCCCAGACGAGGCTCTGCCCTTCGGCAGAGACTCGTCTGGGTTCTTCCTCGCCCGAAGGCAGAACTTCGACTAGCTTAGCTGGAGACGAATCTCCAACTCCGACAGAAGACCCCTCTTATCTCCACGATGGTCTACTTATAATCGCGAGCCACCAATCATTTGCCCGGATGATAAACATATTAGACATCCGGGCACCTCAGAATGGAGCACCAACACACCTGCTATTATTATGTAATGTTGTTAATGATCCAATTTCTTGTGGGACAACAAAGAAGAGTCTCGTTTGACAGAACGACGCACTCAACTTCTCTCAAATTGAAGTCCTACATGCCAGACAAAGACGAACTCTCTTTCGTCGAGAATAACGCAAGTCCTGTTCACCATTTCTTCCATTCGACTTGGGATCTGGTTCATTATGTCCGCTACACAATATCATAAAGCAATGTTTAAAAAAATATGATATATCTATGCGCGTTAGTAGGATACAGATTCCGAAAAAAAGTGAATAAATGCGAATATGGGGAAAAGCTTTTTAATGATGATGCGTTTCATCTTTGTGCGTTGGGCCGGCTAACATCTTCAGTCCGACATCTTTCATTTCCCATAGCCCGGTGCTTTTTTTTTTTTAATCAGCCACCATTAGTTGGTTGAGTGGCTATGAGGGCAGCGGCTATGAGTGCAGCAGGTACCAGGGCAGCAGATACCAGGGCAGCGGCTACGCATGAAGCGAGCACCACGGCAGCGGCTATGAGTGCAGCAGTTACCAGGGCAGCAGATACCAGGACAGCGTCTACGCATGCACCGAGTACCCGGGCAGCGGCTACGAGTGCAACGGGTACCAGGGCAGTGGCTACGCGTGAAGCGAGCAACATGCTAGCGTCTACGAGAGCAGCGAGTACTAGGGCAAAGCCCACTGGTTGTTTGCCAGTCTTGGCAGCAGCCGAATGCAGCAGAGTGCTTTTGATGGTACGGCCTTGCCCATTTCTTTTATACATGGTTGCATATTTAACCATTCAGGATAGTAAGCATATATTATTTTTTTGGTCTTGGGCATTTTATAGACTTTGGATTTTCAAAAGCATTAACGATTTAAATAGTATTTTTAAGGTGATTTCTGTCCAGTAGTGGCCTAGTCCCAAGGGAGCCGGTTTAAAGAGATAGGACTCTGTATATATATATATATATATATATATATATATATAGCAAATCTGTTCGTATATACTCCAAGTGGATCCTCGTAATATAAAATATTAAAACTGATCCACAAAAGAGCTCAATGCATTTATTATAACAAAGCAATATATTTTAAAAAACAATAAAATCCTTAAATCACCTCATATGGGGGAATATATTCCCCATATAAGGTGACTCTGGATTCTATTGTTTATTAAATAAAATATATATATATATAAATATATATATATATTATAAATTAATTGATTTAAATATGTTTTTTTTTCGCTACACAGTTCCAACCATGTTTCAAAAATAGAAGCTAAAAACCCCGAATTTAAATTTGCAATTAAATTAAAAGCATTTAAAAAAAAAAAATGTAACCTCATATACATACTTAAACTTGAATTAATACATAAAGTTTACTAAATCTGAGAAATGACTTAGATAGTTTTGTAGTCTGTGTCATTAATTTTACTTAAATAATATCTAAATAAAAAAGTTTAAAAATTGTAATTTACATATACTTTGATATGGAAAAATAATTTTACTTACTAGGAGTAATTATCCTTCTGTTATAAAGTAATATAGTCTATTAAAACTAACAATGAAAATATTTTAAAATTTTAAAGTTGTAATTTTAAAATTGTAATTAAAATTGTAGTTAAATAAAATGAATTCTAACCTGTTCTTTATACATACATATGAAACTTTATTACTTAGGTTACATATATTTGAAATAAATAAATTAATTAATAAATAAAGTTTACTAAATCTGAGAAATGACTTAGCTAGTTTTGTAGTAAGTGCCATTAATATTACTTAAATAATATTTAAATTTAAAAAAAAAAAAAAAATTGTAATTTACATATACTTTGATATGGAAAAATAATTTTACTTACTATGAGTAATTTTCCTTCTGTTATAAAGTAATATAGTCTATTAAAACTAAACAATGAAAATATTTTAAAATTTTAAAGTTGTAATTTGAAATTGTAATTAAAACTGTAGTTAAATTGAATGAATTCTAACCTAAATTTCTTTTTAAATAATACTACACGCACTAAAAAAGAATCCAAATAAAAATAAAAAACACCTATAGTAAAATAGAATTAATATGAAATGCCATAAGATGTAAGCTTTTGAATGACCCATGTCCTTAGTACTTACATGAGAAACATTATAATACTAGGTTTATATAAAAAAAAAGTTTACTAAATCAGTGAAATTAAGTAACCATTTTTGCCGTCATAGTCATAAATTTAAAAAAAAAAAAATGTAACCTCATATACATATTTAAACTTGATGTTAAAATAATCCTACATAATATAATGGATTCTAATACATTTAACTGTTCTTAAAAAGAATATAGTAAAATAAAATTAAAAAGGAGAATATTTCAAATCGTAGTTAAATAAAAAGTATTAGAAGAAAAAAAAAAAACCCGAAAATCTTTTAAATTTAAATTGACGTTGAAATTTTTTTACCGTTAACAATTTAAAAAAAAAAATTCAGACGACATCCATTCAACTGATGTCAGGTTTCATTGTAAAATACATCCCTACCCCTTACCAAATTGTAGCTAATAACTGATACAATGATACTGACATAAGGAAAATCTAGACATCCCTTGTTCAATTTAAGTAGAATATTCTGTAACCATGGAAACGTGATTTTAGCTGTGTCTTTAAAACCCGGTAATTTTTAAAAGTTACTCCAAAATTCGCTTGAAGATGAAAATGGAACTAATGCTTTTAATTTAATTGCAAAATTAAATTCAAGGGTTTTAGCTTCTATTTTTGAAACATAGTTGGAACTGTGTAGCGAAAAAAAAATATTTTAAATCAATTAATTTATATTATTAATGCCTGTAAATTTACATTGAGCACTATTTTGTAAAAAATAAAAATATCTATAAGAACACCGGATTTTTATATCTTACTGTTCTTTCTTTTATTTATATACATATATATATATAATATAAACCTAAAGAGCCAGGTAAACCTAACAAGGTTTCACCTAAACTGATCGTCAGAGTACAACTGAACGTTTTTTTTGTCTTTGGACCCTGAGCTTGAACACTGGACGATTGTTTTCGCCTCAATTTCATGTTCTTAGTTCTTTCTTTTTTTATTCCTCATTTTTCCTTGGGTACTGGTTTGTTCAACTACAAGCCGAAATACCTAAAATTTCCAAGCAAGTACCACTATATATATATATATATATATATATATATATATATATATATATATATATATATATATATATATATATATATATACTAGAAAAATGAAAATAGATACAATGTATCTAAACACAAATTAGATGCCATAACAAATCCTTCTGTCTTGAATAAATCGGCAAATTTTAACATCAACTTAAGAGGTTTTTCTCGTTAAAAGTTTAAATAATTTTAACACATTGAATATATATAATATATATATATATATATATATATATATTATATATTTTATCTATATATATATATATATATATATGTATTCAATATAATAATACAAGTTTGAAAAATCAGGGGAGGTAACTTTTGCTAACCAAGGGAGGTAACTAGGAGATTTTTCTACAAATTCTTTCCCTTACATCATACAACGCGGTGGCAATAAAGGAAATGTTTTGTTTATTTATTTATTCAATTATTTATTTTTCACGCAATACTAGTTCAAAGAGCCGCTCAAGGTAGAGAGTTGCTGAAACAGGTTGTTATATGAGAATTAAGAGTAAAAAGTGCATTTTATGAGAATACGTGTGGAAGATAACGGTTAACCCGAGATGTGAAAAAGTTAAGATTGGAGTACACAAAAAAGCATCATTTGGGGTGTCGGTTCCACAACGTAGCGGTTTGTGGGGAGAAGACGTTCCAGTGGAATTTCTTTTTTACTCACGGAATACGAAGGGAATGAGGATGGTTCGCTTCTGTGTCCGTGAGATGGCGGGTCTTAGTTGTGAAGGTCTGAACTGGTTGTAATAATGACTGAAGCTCGTCAAAACATTTTGCATAGAAATAGGGATTTCTGTTATCATTTCACCCCAAGTTACATAATAAAGTCACTAAGACGCAAAGGATTAATAAGTGTTATAAAATATGAGAAAAATTACTATTAAGGAGAGAGAACAATTAAAGAACAAGAATTAAGAAGACAGGAGTTAATGATTGATATTGCATTTAAACATTTGAAGAACAAAGTTGACAGGGAAGCAAGAAGCTGGAAAAGAGTTCCATAATCGAGAAGTTTGAGAGAAGGAACTGTTAACATAGGACTTACGGTTACATCTAGCCATTTCAATTTTACAATGATGAGACCTTACCGCCAATCTAGTACTGTGCTTAAAATGATAAATTATAGGTAATTTCCTCAGAATAATTACAGTGTAAATATTTATAGAAAAACGTTAAAAAGCTACGTTACGGGAAAAGTGACCGAAGCCGAGATGCCAGGTCGAGACTAATAACATTGCAGATGATTCTAGATTATTCTAAGGTAGAATAGCAAGAGGTTATTAGCATTTCGTCTATGGAGAAAGGAGTTGCAGGATGGAAAACAAGTGTTTTCTCAAGGAGTTTCTTTTTCCTTGAATCCCTATTGTTACCCAAGTTCACACAAGACCTCAAGGAAAACTTATATAAATAATCCATGCTAGAGAAAGTACCGGACTCCTACTGGAAGGGCGCTCTATCTTTACAAGTGCCTGATCAGACCAAAAACAAAGTACTGTTGCCAGATCTGGACTGCAAGTTACACAGTCTTCACTTTCCATCGTTGATAGAGTTCAAAAGCATCCACGTGGCCTTGTGCATGACGAATTATCTTCCACCCTACAACCACTTTCCGCACGGTCGAGACATTTCGAACCTCTCGCTGCTGTATCGCTATTTTCATGTCAAATGTTCAGACAAACTACCTTTCTTAGTTCCACGAGTTCTGATCTTCACAGTTCGGACCCGCCATGCCACCTAAACTGGAACGTATTATCCTCATCCGCTTCATATTCCATTAGTAAGAAAGAAGTTCCACTCGAACAGCTTCTTCCCACGAACCGCTACTTTGTGGAACAAACTCCCTGGAGCGGGGGGGGGCGCATGCTTACCAAAATTACACAAAAATATCTTGGAATGCTAAAGAGTAAAACGTTTTATGAAACGTCAATCTCCATCTTCTGTCTTCTTGAATCCCGTCCATCTTTTCTCCTTTCCCAAATCCTCTATCCACTCGGTCTTTTTTCTCGCTTTCATTCCCTGCTACGAGTGGCTTTTTCGCCTTGCATGGGGTGAAATGATTTAAAAATGGGGAAAGTTTTCTGGCATGACACTGTTACCCAACTTTCCTTGCTGTAGATGCAGCTAGTGAAACGATATAGTCACTCCAAAGAAACAACGATAGATTAACAAGATGCTTATACGGTTTCACCTATGGCGTAGAGGTTTTAGTCTAAAAAGAATTCCTCATTCCCCAGGTCACATACATGCTTCTGAACTCTATCACGACTGAATAATAAGGCCTGAGTACCACCAGTCCTGATATGGCAGTAGTCTATTTTTGATCTGACCTGGCTGGTTTAAAGATAGATCATAGCAGAAACCAATCATTACCCAAGTCTCTTTAGCAATCGAATATAGCGCTACATTCCTTAGTTCCTTCAAACCTGATATGCCACCTAAACTGGGACGAATTATCCTCCTTCCC